TCAATTACATTAACAACAAATACAAGGGAAGAATGATCTTGTAGCCAAAGACAGAGCAGTCTTAAAGTCAGGGTTTATAGATTCTACTTCCAGCTGGGCAGATTCAGGGTCTGGTTTCCTAACCAGGTACTTCCCTTGGTCCATCACTACAGTAGCGAAACACCTTCGAGATCAGACACACACTGTTCACAGCTTGTGCAATTAAAGGGCTTGACTCCGTCTCTGTGAGAGACCCTGGGCAAGTGACTGGACCTCTCAGTACTTCCCGGGACCCGGCTGTGAAACCGGGACCCCAACAGCGCCCAGGGGAGAGGATGGGAGGCCTGGGTCCGCTGTAGGACGGAGGGACCCATGAGGGCAGCACGGTCAGACCCAGCCCCTTTCAAGCCGATCGCGCCCCAGCGTGACCCCGTTTTCTGGGCAGTAGAGACACCCCCCGGGCGGGGCAGTTGGGCGCCCCTCCCCATTATCAGGGACCCCCAGATGGGGTCGCCCCCCCCCCAGAGGCCTCCCCCTTTCGGAGCTGCTCGGGGGGGAAGGGGGTATGACGCTACCCCCTGGGCGCGGAGCGGCCCCAGCGCTGTGGCGGAGGCCGGAGCGGACTCACCTGCCAGGTGGGGCCTGCCCGGCAGCTGGACGAAGCGGTTGAGGAGCCCCCCGGCCGGCGCCGCCCCGGGCCCGTCCCCGCTGCACCCTCCGCCCGAGCCGCTGCCTCCAGCGCCCCCCCGCCGCCGGTTCCCGTCCCAGCCGCCCTCCGCCGCCGACATGGCCCGACCGACTCCGCTCCCCCCCACAGCTCCGACTCCGCCCCCGGCCCGCTCCCTCCGCCGCCGCCGGGGGAGTATGGAAGGGCTTCGCTCGCTTGCTCCCACAGAGAGGCCAATCAGCAGCGGCCTTCAATAGTCAGAGCCAATAGGAGACCGACTTCTTGGCAGGTGGACGAGAAAGAGGGGGACGTCACCAAAGAGAGGGGCAGAGACAGACGTGAGCAATGGATACCCGAGATCCTCGAACCGCCCCGCTCGACTCTTTCTGGTCCTCCGGGCGCCAGTACGGAATCAGGCAGGAGCAATCAGCAGCCGAGTCCTGAACTCTCAACAACCATGGAACCTTCAGTTCAGCTGTGAGGCTGGTATATATCTAGAGCTAGGGGGGTAAGGCAGGGGGGCATGTCCCAAACCAACCTCTGCTAGGGCAGCATTCATGGGGTCCCCTCCTGCCTTCTGGCAGTAGTTGAGCAGAGGGAAGCCACCATACCACTGGTGAAAAGCAACAGAGAGTCCTGTGGCACCTTGAAGACTAACA